CGATGGTGCTGCCATGCGCCTAGAGCTAGCGATGCACACACACACGCAAGCTCCTAGCTATGCGATGGTGTGTAGTGCGCCTAGAACGCAAGATGCGCCTAGCATGCATAGTGCGCCTAGCATACACATGGTGCACCTAGCACGCATAGTGCACGCTAGATCGATCTAGCCTAACGTCCACTTGGCTAGGCCAATGTGATGCTATGGCTACGCTCGAACTTGTTGATTTTTCCCGTCTCGTCAAATTCCAAATTTGACTCGACTTGCGACGCTCTAAGCTCGATATCCGACGTCTTTGTTCGTAATACTGTAACGACTCATCCAATCCTTCGGATTGATTCGTCACCTCGGATCGGTTACTCGATTGGGTGTGACCCGAAGGGTTCAGTCAAGATTAAGCTGTAATATTAATTATACATTAATATTACTGATCGGAAGCGGCCTCCACCTAGACATTCCGATCACTTAACCTTACTGAAGAATTAGCTTTCCGATAATTCTGAACCCTCTATCGGAATAATAAACTTGTTGGAAGGACACCATTCCTTTCAAATCAATACAATAATAATTCTACCCCTAATATATAAATCAATTAACAAGAGAAAAAGAAATCCCTAGAAAGTACCAAAGATCTCTCTCGAGTTATCAATGGCTTCCCTAGTCACAATGATACTTATTCTCATGGAATCATGTGAATTAGAGACATTATGCACATTACTTGAATTCCTAATCATTCATTAAACTACTCTCGCGATGAACTTCAAATCCTTAATTGATTCATTCAATTCCGTTATTTCTCAACACTCATTGCAATTAAAACAATGGAATAATAACAATACTAATTATCTCTAATCTAGTATTGGCATAAGCACAATCAATTAAGCATTTCAATTGGGATTATTATTGGAGAATTTAAAGATTTAATTCATGCATCAATCGTATTCGGGCTCCGCAAGATCCCGGATTAAAGGACTACTCACACATATTAACGGAAGCAAAAAACAATATTCAATGAAGAAAACATGATTAATAAACAAAAAAAAGTAAAAGAGGAAGAAAAGATGAATACCAATTACTTGAATAAAGAAAAGTATCAATTATTGATGAACAATGATCAAAACTTCAAAGTGCAAATTAATCCAGATCTAGAGAAAAAAAAACTAGGGTTCTAATGAAGGGTTTTAAGCTAGAAAATAATAACTAAGTAAGTTTAATCGAGGTTTACAAGGGGTATTTATATCCCTTAAAAATAAGAAATCCAGAAAAATAATGAAAACTTGCTTCGCGAAACCATGCCCGGGCAGCCAGGGCATCGCCGCCCGATCGGGCGCGAGAAGCATATTCGACCTTATGCTTCTTCAAGTAATCCTTTATATGCAGTGCTTTGTCTGCCCGGTCTGCCTGGACAAGGCTGCCCTGCCTAGGCGATGGGGGCAAGATACCTCATAATCCTACTACGCTCTTCTCTTCTTCTTCCATTGCCTTGGCTTCCAGGGCAACATCGCCCTGCCAGAGCGGACACGGAAAATCACTCCACCATCTTAACAAGCTCTTGTGGCCATCCAAAACAGGTCCAAATCATTCGAAAATCTTCGTATGCCTACAAAACTCAACTGACCAAACCACACTAGAGAAGAGAATGTTAGCGAGAAATGGCTCCTTGGAGCTCAAAATCATACGAAAATAGTTATAGATTGGGGGTAAAATATGGTATAAAATATGTACATCAGATTTCTATTGTATTTGCAATTTTGATTTATATTGTAGATATCGTATGACTCATCTATCAATGAATTAATTTTACTTTAAAAAAAACCATTATAAACTTGGAATGTTTATCAAGGGGTCATTATGTACTTTCTTATAAGCTTGTGTAAACTTATGCCTTTTTTGGAAATTTTTACTTCTCACAAAGGAGAGAGAAAGATAAGGTTAAGGTTCACCATTATTGGATGGAGAAGACTAAAAAACTATTCAAGAAGGTAAAGCTTAGCTTCAATGAAGGAGTGAAGCTTACATAGCCTTTGGGATTAAACATGCCCTTTATCTCTTCCTTTTTCTTAGGTTTTTGCTGTTTAATTTGGCATCAAAGTTGCCTAAAATGGTGGCGTTAGCATCTGCGTCAGTGTTGGAAATATTGGTGTCGATGGAGACAAAGAAGATGAAAGTTGGTGGAGATCAAAGGAAGAAGTACCCTCTGACCATACGGACCATTAATGGAAGCTAAGTGAAGTCAAAGCTAGGACTTGGGAGGACCAAAATATATGGGTTAGAGGAAGAAGAACATCTTATTTGAAGAAGATGAAGCCTAACAATAGAAGTATTGTTTTAATTCAGCAACACAATTTTCAATGCAAAATATATTTACAAAAGGGCGATTGTGAGATTAAAATTTGTTTCTCATGGTAATAAACTAGATCTTTTTCATAAAAGAATTGCTCCTACAAGTACAATTCGACTCAAAATGCACCAACTTAAGAATCACAAAATTATGAAATAGAAACTAACCATATTTATCATGTGTCCTTATCATATAGATTAAGTAAAAATATTTTTTATTTAAAGCTAATTGGAACAGTAACATAAACATTCATCAAGTTTGTGAGCACCCTTTATTAGTAAAATAGGATCTCAAAAAATAATACTTGTATTTTTCAATCTTCATTGTAACAAAGACGCTAAAGTTGGTTGTGTTACAATGGTTATTTTAAATAAAAGGCTATTGTAGAATGTTCAATATTGTGGGCAAATTACTACTCATAAGAGGAAGTCATAATATCTAACCGTTAGATTTTAAGAAAATATTTAACAACCTTTGATACTACAAGGAGTCCTAATTGTACAATAGTACTAAAAGAGAGGTAGTGATGGACCACTACCAGGTGTGGACTTATAGGGTCCATACCGAGGGCAAATAAGTAATTTTTCGTAATGTTTTCATAGTAAGTCATCAGAAATTACTATACTATAAAAAAATAGTCTCTCTCCTCTTTCCATCTTTTTCCATCGGAGTTTTCACCAGAAAACTTCTCAAAATACACTTTTATCATCTTCGTTTTCGTCTTCCTCTTCTTCGTCAAGTACATTGTGTCGGTAGAATTACCGCACCGTCCTTACCACCAGTCCACCACCACTACCGGATTTTTAATAATAAAATACAATTTTACAATAACAATATTCAACTCTACAATAACTTTATAAACATCAACCATGATAGTACATAAATCAATAATAACAGTATGCTAGTCAATTATATCTCAATTATAGCTGAGCGCCGACAAAGACTTAAACTTCACCAGAGATAATTTATTAGATATTTACTAATAACAGTATATAAATAAAAAAAATAACAGTATACAAATCAAGAATAACAGTATACAAGTCAATAATAATTGAGCACCGACAAACAATTAACGTCGTTAACTTCAACCCCCTCGTATCAAAAATCTTTTGAACTCTGAAAATTCCCAGCATAGAACTCACCGTTTTTCATGGCTAAAGTCGTAAGTCTGGATTCGGCAAAGAACTCGTCCATGTTGGAAGACCTTGAACATCGTTCGCCATCCTTTAACTACCATCTTTCATCAATCAAAGTTCGAATAACTTCTTTCATTTGAATCAGCCACAAAATTTGCACCTTCGGTAGATCGAGCACCGTTCCTTGAGGATGAAGAGTACTGCAACTCTGATGGGGTTTTGGTGGGACCGATTTTCCGACCAGCGGAGCTTTCTTTGCGTGAGTAGTTAGTGTTTTAGCTCTTCCTGTTCTTTTACCCCCTTAATCTTTTTTCCTTTTCCATATTATTTTAGCATTTAAAATTTTACAAATATTATTTTTTTAATGTGGTATGGACTTCAACTATCCATACCAGGTAGTGGGCTATAAGATAGTTGTAGTCCATACCACAATAAAATAAAATAAAAAATACATATTTGTAAAATTTTAAAAGGTAAAACAAAATGGAAAAGGAAAAAGGATTAAGGGAGGGTAAAAAAACAGGTTCAGCTAAAAGCCTAAAAACATTACCCACTCACGAGAAAAAGCTCCGGTGGTCGGAAAATCAGTCCCACAAAAACCCTATCAGAGTTGTAGTACTCTTCATCCTCAAGGAACGGTGCTCGATCTATCGGGGGTGCGAATTTTGTGGCTGATTCAAATTAAAGAAGTTATTCGAAATTTGATTGATGAAAGATGGTAGTCGAAGGACGGCAAAGGATGTTCAAGATCTTCCAACATAAACGAGTTCTCTGCCGGAGTCCAGACTCACGACTCCAGCCATGAAAAACGGTGAGTTCTATGTTGGAAATTTTCAGAGTTTGAAAGATTTTGGATATGAGGGGGTTGAAGTTGACGACGTTAATTGTTTGTCGGTGCTCAGTTATTACTGACTTGTATACTGTTATTCTTGATTTTTATATTGTTGTTTTTTATTTGTATACTGTTATTAGTAAATTGCATACTATTGTCCAATAATTTATTTTTGGTTAATTCAAAGTATTTGTCAGTGCTTAGCTATCATTGACTTGTATATTGTTATTATTGATTTGTGTATTGTTATGGTTGATTTTTATACTGTTATCATAGAGTTGAATATTGTTATTGTAGAATTGTAAGAGGTAAGAGAATACTTTTTTTACAGCATAGTAAAATCTAATGACTTACCATGAGAATATTGCGTAAATTTACATATTTGCCTTCGGTATGGACCTGGGTCCATACCTGGTAGTAGTCTATCACTATCCCTACTTTACCACCTAGTACTCTCAAATTTGTCATTAAATTTGTCAGACATTTGCCAATGTCTAACTGTTAGATGTTAGGATAACCTCCTAGTCATAACTCAAGGAGGGGCTCATCAACATTCTTATTCCAAGAGCTCTGGCAAGTTAAAATACTCAAATACCACAAACACGAATACACGATGCAGCAATGTCACTGCAAATTTCCAATAAGCATGACCTATGCTGAGGAGACCTCCTGTTCTACTTGAAATTCCTGTAAACATCTATCACAAAGTGAAAGCAAAATTTTCATACCAGCACAGAGATTTATCTGTCAATGCAGTTGTGTCGATACATTGAGCTGACTTCATCAAAATTCTGAGCATTGCATATTATTATCATACAAGGCACTTACGTAAATAGCCTACATAGTACATACTATGGAAACTTAAAAAAAAAGAGAGAATAAAATACGACAAATACTACAACCACAGGAGCAATTTGATACAAAAATGGCTAACATCCTGTTATGAAATCAGAAAAGGCTCGAAGGTGTTAATGAAGTGCAATCTCAAGCATTTGCAACCAACTGCTCATGATCTGAATGCGAGTTTCCATATCCAGAGCCTCCACCATCTGACTCACCATCCTTGGGATCTGATGTTGCCTCAGGAGTCGATGACCTACCATACAACTGTCTTCTGAATTCCCTTCGAGCAGTCTTTTCATCTAGTTTCATTTCCTTGAAGCTTTGCTCAAACTTCGCTTCATCTTCCGGGGAGAAGAAAGAAACCTCCACTTTCCCAAGCTCTTCGTACATCTTCTCGATTTTGGCTTTCCAGAGGAGGCCCATCTCCGTGTCCATTTTATGATATGGTGTCTTCAATAAGTACTCATCAATCCCCCCAGCTTTATCAATGCAGCGTAGAGCATGGGTGGTCACATGTACACGAATGTGGCGGTCCAAAATGTAGCTGAAGAGTCGTTTTTCTTGCACGTTAGGCTTCCAAGTTCTCCGTGACCTATTATTCCAAAAATAAAGCATTAATTATGATCATACGGTCAGAGTGCTCGAACAATGTAAACAAAGAAGAAATCCCATAAACTACAAATATTCTGAACATATTTTGAACATGATTTTAATGATGCATTTAGCAACAAAAACATTTATAAATGAATGCAATGGAATCAATGAGTAAAGAGAAGCTGGGAAAAAAAAAAACAAAAACATACAATTCTCAATCAAGGCCCAAGTATAACATGTCTATTCTTTAGTTATAAAAATCAAGAAAAAAAAAAAACACATAACAAAGTTATCAGTTAACATTAGGTCATCTCAGGCAGATAAACTAACCAATACAATTAGATAGTTCCCTAAGGTTCCAATCTGAGGTGGCCAAAATATTATGGCATATTAACGTTAGATTATCTCAGGCAGATAAACTACCCCTTCAATTAGATAGTTTCCTAAGGTTCCGATCTGAGGTGACCAAAATATTATGGCAAATTATTTCCACTTTGATGCCTTGAGGTTTGGCATAAATCCAGCGTGATGCCCTTTGTTTTCCTTAATTTCAGTATACTATCCGGACATTTGAATTTATTCACTTAAGTGCCCTGCAGCCAATTCAATTAAAAGCTCTGTTTGAGCAACTTTTTTTCTTGTAGGTTCTTGTTTCAATTGTTAATGTTTCTCCAGTTCAAAGCAATATTAAAGTTTTGTTTTTTACTTTGATGTGTGATGTATTAGTTGAGGTTTTTTCCCCTTTGTAAGATATAAGGACATAAACAAAGAGAAAAGACATAAACAAAGAGAAAATAAATGGGATAAAACCGACTTTTGTGGTATGAAAGGCACGTATCATCATATAAATGGAGCTCCTAAGTCCTAACAGGGTTGACAACATGGCACTAAAGTGGAATAGAAAATGTAACATCAGGACAACATATGGAACTCATGAGGAACACAGGGAACCACTACAGAGAAAGCCAACAACACTCAGGAAACCGATTGAATAAAAGTTGAGCAAGAAAAAAAAAATGTAAAGTGAGAAACAGAAAACTCTTTTTCATTCCTGGTACTCTTTTTTATTCTTGGTCTTCTAAAACTATCTGAAATTTTACTTGGATGTTCTTTCTTTTCTCACTTTACACACCTTTTTTCAAACCTTTTCAACTAGTTATCTTGTTATATCCTTTTTTGTTTGTCGAACGGGTCCTTATAACAATTCAGCCAACCCCTAATCATCTTGGGAGTAAGGCTTTGTTGTTGTTGCTGTTGTTGTAAAGTGAGAAACAGAATGAGTATACAAATAAATTTTATGAGAGTTTTAAAAGAGTGGTAAGGGGATAGAAAGTCAGGGGAAAACATTAGAGTAAAAAACATAAAGGTTAGAGATAAACACATAAAGGTTTGAAAACAAACAAAAAAAAAAAAAAAAAAGGGAAATACCCACACAAACCTCCAATACAGCCAGACTTTACCCACACCTCAGAACACTGCATTAAGTAAAATTATGCAAATAGACACAAGAATTCTAGCCATTTGATCTCATTGAACTTTGTAATGATAGCTCACGGTAGCAAGACTGATGAGCTTTGCATAGTTTAAATTGGCAAATTTTCTAAGGCAATCTTGCCAAATGCTAGCATGCACATCATCAAAAGAAATTTGATGCATTGGCTTATTAAAATTTCCAAAAAAAAAATTAAAAAACAAAAGAGTTAAAACTACTTGTATAACGCTACCCTCTACTTGTACACTATAATAAAACGTTAAAACCAAAAAAAAATCTAACTCCGTACGAAAAAAACAGTTTTTTTTCATTTTTGGGAAAATTAGTCAAGAATAAACCAAACTATGCACGGTTCGCTTAAAATAAGTCAACCTATTGATAAACTAAGAATAAGTTGATTTTTAAGGGGTATTTTCTTTAAAGATGTCCAATAACCTACAACCTACCAAACAAGTCTTTTTTTTTTATTAAAACTTATTTTTTTATAAATAATAAAAAATAAAAAAAATTACAGAAAAACTCACCCTGACAAACCCGACAGTGCATGGATCACCTCCCCCACCACGATTCCTTTCTTTCTCTCCCCTCCCACTGCCAGCCTTCCCCCCCCCCCACCGTCCCTTGCCGCCGACCGAGACCAACTCACACTAAACCCACCTCGAATCTCCACCCTAACCACTAAACTATCACCATATTTACCCGAAACCCACCTCTCACCATTGAAGCCACCCCTAACCACCGAAAACCCACCCACATCCCGGTCAACCCAACGGCCAACACCCACCCGGGGAAAAAAAAATAAAAAAAGAAGGGGGGGTGGGAGTAGAGATAATAGTGGGAGGGAAGATAGACAAAGTAATTGGCAGTGGGTGAAACTAATACAGTCTAAAACCGAACCAAACCGCAAACCAAACCGAATTAGTAATTTGGTTTGGTTTTTTTGTTAATATGGTTTGGTGTAATTTGAGAAATAAAAAAAATTGTGGTTTGCGGTTTGGTTTCGGTTTTAGGATTTGAAAACTCGAAAAAATCGAAATATAAGCCCATATCTAAATTATAGTCCAAATCTGATTTTGAGCTCTACTATATAAATCTAAAAAGAAATTATGTTGAGTCAGACCCAAAAAAAGTTACAAATCAAACCTCAAAACACTAGGCCCAAAAAATTGCGGTGCGGTTTGGTTTTTATTCTGAAAACCGAATTAAAAACGGTGTGGTGTGGTTTGGTTTGGACAGAAAAATAATATGGTGCGGTGTGGTTTGAAAAATTCTTAACCGAATTAATACGGCTTGGTTTTGGTTTGGGCTATAAACCACACCGCAAACTGAACTTTCACCCCGCCAGTGGGAGTGGGTGGGGGTGATCTGGTCCAAGATCAAGCAAGTGAGCAACCCACTTAAAAGCTCCATGGTTCAAGACCCGGTTGCTCATGGTTTTAATAGCTCTTGGGTTTTAACCATTTTCTACTAAGGCTGAATTCAAGTGTTGCAAAGGTAGATTGAAGATCCAAGGAACAAGTCCAAAAGAAGCTACACGTTTGACCCATTAAGAATGCTGATTTGGGCTTGTGTTTTCTAGCTTATTTCTAATTTTATTTTATGTTGTAATAATGCCAAGAGACACTCTTTGGCCAGTTATGTAGTAGGATTTTTAGCCTTGCATTTACCTGCTCATTACTACCTAATTAAGGCATTTAATGCTTAGCTTGAGTTAAGGAAAACCGTTGGCTTTTGGCTTCCCATTGTGAACAGTTTTTCCTTGACTTTTTGTGATCTTTTTACCTTCTTTTGCTGCTCCTATTCACAATGTAAGAAGAGCTAATGATAATGGAAAATCAGATTTTGATGAATGATAACAAAACCCTTGTGTTTTGCATTTGAACTTTGAGTTTGTCTCGAGTTTGAATGTTCCCTTATTACTTTGAGTAAGTTCTTGAGTAGTAAGCTTAGACGAGATTGAGTGTGTCTTATCTCTAGCCTAAAACCCCAAAACTTTGAATTTGTTCTTGAGTTTTGATTTATCTATCTTGTTTCGTGAAATTTTAAGTATTTGAGAGTATCCTTGTTCAAATGAGTTTAAATCCATCATCCTTTACAGGAAGGTGTTTTTACACTTACATCATGATCAGCGGTGGCAGGCAAAGGAGGGACAAGTGATGTTGTTGGCTGTTCTACTGAGGAGGGGGATTTTCTTTATAAAAAAAATTATAAAAAAATTAATTTACAAAAAAATTTAAATAAAACCAATAATATTATGACACGTGGCATACTAAACTTAAACAGCCGATTACCCCCTAAACTAATAGGTCATGGCTCATTTTGAGAAAAAATATCCTATAAAGGTTGGCTTATTTTGAGTTAGCCGCACAAAAGTTGGCTTATTTTTGACAAATTTTCCTTTTATTTCATAGTAACCTTTGCGTATGCTTCATTTGATAACCAAATATATATATATATATATATATATATATATATATATATATAAGGGGAGGATCCGGTGAGAATAGGCCCATATGTGAGAAAACATACTTATATGAGAATTGATCTTAATTTTAGAACATGTGAGTAAAAGTTTAGAACATATGAGTAAAAATTTAGAACATATGATTAAAATTCAGAACACATGATTTAAACTTCTGAACACATGATTTAAAATTTTGAACACGTGAGTAATAATTTAGAACATCTGATTTAAGATTTAGAACATGTGAATAAAAATTAAGAACACCAGATTTTAAATTTAGAACATATGAGTTACATTTAGAACATGTGAGTAAAAGTTTGGAACATACGAGTAATACTTTAGAACATATGATTAAAGAATCTTAGAACACAATTTAAAATTTAAAACATATAAGTTAAAATTTAGAACAAATAATTTAAGATTTAGAGCATGTGATCAATGATTTAAAACATTTGATTTAACTCATTTAAGATTTAGAACATGTATTTTGAAATTTAAAACATCTGATTTAAAATTTAGAACATACGAGTAAAAAGTTAGAACATGAGAGTGTTCTCACATATGAAAGAGTTCTCACATAAAAGAGGAATTCTCAAAAGAGCCTTCTCCTATATATATATATATATATATATATATATATATATATATAAATAAAAAAATCAGAAATTCCCAATAAAACCAATTAACTTTAAGCTTGATAATATTTTTAGAAGTATAAAAGACCTTGATATATAAACAGCCACATGCCATCATCACCAACACACAATTTCCAGCCCACATTCTCCTTGAAGGCTTGAAAATAGGCAGGATGCTTCTTCCCTGGCAGCGTCACTTCTTCCTTACAACCCTCTATTTTCCATGGTAACCTTTGCGTATGCTTCATTTGGTAACCAAAAAATTAAAAAATTAAAAAAATCCAAAAATCCCAATAAAACAAATTAACTTTCAGCTAGATAATATTTTTAGAAAAATAAAAGACCTTGCTGTATAAACAGCCACCACAACATAATCACCAACACACAATTTCCAGCCCACATTCTCCTTGAAGGCTTGAACATGGGCAAGATGCTTCTTCCTAGCAGCCCCCTCCTTCCTGGCAGGGTCACTTCTTCCTGACAACCCCCTTTTTTCATGGTAACCTTTGCGTATGCTCCATTTGGTAACCAAAGAAAATAAAAAATAAAAAATAAAAAAGAAATCCAAAAATCCCCAATAAAACCAATCAACTTTCAGGTAGATAACATTTTTAGAAAAATAAAAGATCTTGATATATAAACAGCTACCACACCATCACCAACACACAATTTGCAGCCCACACGCTCCCTGAAGGCTTGAACATGGGCAGGATGCTTCTTCCCTAGCATCCCCATCCTTCCTGGAAGGGTCACTTCTTCCTGACAAGCCCCTTCCCCAAACCTTATAACTTGCTCTTTCATTCAAAATCTCTTTTCTAAGATATGCATAAACAAAATAGACACTATGACAACTGTAAACTGTAAAGCAGAAATTATTATATCTAACTTTTCTGAAATCATCTGAACTTATTTTGTCTGAAACTGATATTAATTTATGTGTGTGATTTTGTCCAAAACTATCTTGATGAATTTATTATGTCTAATCTTATATGAACTTATATTGAATAAACTTATGAGAATTTATTTGCATGATATAAATTAAAAATAATTAAAATAAGATGAAACCAACAAATCCTAAGCCATGCAAGATTTTTTAGCTATTAAGGTAATTTGATTCCTTGTAAAGTTACATGTCAACCACATGGTATATACATCATCAACCAAACTTTGAGTGATATAACACACAAAACCTTAACACCCAATGACTTTTCTTTTACCTCTGGTACCCAAGTGGGTACACGACACTCTAACTTAGGTATAGAAACATTTCAATTTGTACAAAAGCAATGCGATTTATTTGTAAACTGAAAGAGTAACACTACACTTATCTGCATAGTGAGGGTGACATAACAGACACTAAATAGAGCAACATAACACACAGTAACAAAGAAGTGATAGGCGATAGCTAAACATTTCCATTGTCCGACAGGGGAGAGAGGGTTCAGAAATCATACTTATTGCCTCCATCTTCACTAACTTGGTTGCCATACTGAATATGGCGACCAGCAAAAAGCCCTCGCTTAGCACGACCCATGACCACCTTATTATTCGGTATGTTCTTACTTAGAGCTTCTTTAACACCCCTGGTAATGTTATCTTCACCAACTTTCTTCAGTAGCTTTTTCATTGTTTCCTTTGACCGAAATGCCATTTTTCTCTCACTAGCTGTTGAATATCACAAATCAGTCTGAGGTTCAAGAAAACGACCACAACAAAAATCAGCTCATAATTTCATAGTTCAATCCTAACATTAAAGGGTTGTGCAATACACAGGCCCGTCCGTGAGGCAGGGCAGGAGGGGCAGCCGCCCTAGGCCCAGGGAAAAGAGATTTGATTTCATATTGAAATATCTCGAAAAATACATAATTTTAGGGATACTTAATTCAATAATCAAATTACGCTCATAATTTTCTTTTCTTTTGGATATGATGTTTCATAATCTAAGAATTTGCGAACCCTAAACTTAAAGCACTGATAATTAAATTAGATTAGATTAAATATAAACCCTAGATTGTGAAATTGATGTGATGATAACAACAACAAACAACTTACCTTAGAAGATGCTTCAATGGAGGATACAAGAATTAGATTCAACGGAGAACGCTTCAATGGAGAACGTTGAGTGCGCTTCAATGAAATAACTCAGAGGTAGGAAATAGGAATGGAGGCCTTTAAAAGCCCTGACCCCCATAGTTATAATATGGGTTAGATCCGTCTGATAAATAAATTGGATGGGTCTTTATATAATCGTCTAATTATGAGACAGGTGGACTTTATAAAGGTTTTATGTAAACATGTTTTAAATATTTTTAAATATTTTCATACACCAAAGCTTGTATCAATTTTTTTTTGTAAGTTTTAAAGATTTTTTTTAAAAAAACAGATGCAATTACATTAATTAAACTGAGTTTACAACAAACAAAAGAACAGAAGTAACATAAGTTACTATTGGCATAAGAAGCCCTTACATAATATCAATTAAGGTCATTAACGATATTTACCTTTTAGCTATTACAATGAGTGAATACAACGCATATAAGGCTTACCAATATACATTTAAACATGCGATGAGACTATTGATAGAACGAGTGAAGTTGGTGATGATGTTTTGTGTTGTGCAAGGTATTTTCTAACATACAATTAAAAGTGTATGAATGTTGCTGAAATGACGGAGACAACCCAAAATCAGTATGTCTTACCCTAAGGGAGCTCAATAATTCAAATGGATAAAATCCTCTTGAGATCTATGCTTTATACATGCCAATCACATTTCTTTGTGATCTAACAAAATCATATCTTATACTCCCTCCGTCCCATAATATAGTTTCTATTGTGTTTTTTCACGGTATTTAAAAAATGGGAGGAGAAGTGGAAAAGAACTAGACAAAAGTACAAGGCAAGTAGATAATTTAAGGGGGGAAAAGTGAAAAGTTTAATTATAGACAAAAGTTAGAGAGAGAAAGTGAAAAAGTACAATGCAAGTGGATAAGTTAAGGGTAAATTAGTAAGTTCAATGAATAAAGTAAAAAATAAGGGTAAATTATTAAAATGATGTACTTTTGGTGGGAAATGGTCCATGACCAAGTCATGGTCATGCCTATTTGTTGAGTGTGGGAATTTTGCCACTTGTCCAACAGAGAGAGGTTGTTGAGATTTTTTTTATTTTTATTTTGATGAGGCTTACGTGGGAATTAGAAGGAGAGGTGAAAGATGGGGGAAATTCTTTGGAAAGTGAGACATGGCAGCAGATTGTCAATTTTGTACTTGTAAATCCCATGGTCTGAAATTGACATGAAATATAAACGTTGTAAATTTTGCAGCGAACGATCATAACTTTTAAAATACAAACTTAAAAAAAAAATTAATAAATTATACCAGCGACTCTAATTTTTTCCCTTTTATAAAATGAGTATAATTTTGACCTATTTTAACTCTAACATTTTTTTTTTCAGCAATTATTACTCCCATTTTTAGTAAGCAATTTTTTTTTTTTTAAATCCAAGGTTAGTGAAATTAAAACTTTTAGAGATGAATAACCCAAAATCCCAAAGGAAAAAATCCCACAAAATCCAAAAGCTCATCACAACTCCAAAATAATCCAAATATTCATCCTTCTTTTTCTAATCATCCCATTGATCTCAACTTTGATTTGGAACCTAATTTAACACAATTTTCTACTTATGTTTCAAGAAATGTGAATTTTTCAAATCCAAATACTTTCACTCAATTCCCTCCACGACCACCACAATATCCGAACTTCTCATATTGTCAAGATGATTTTCCAGCTACAAATGGTTCATCTTTTCAAAATTTTCAATTATCTTGAGATGAATCCACATTTCCTATCTCACAACATTTCACTATTTCACAAGGTGAAGTTGCATTTTCGGATTTTGATTGTTCATATAGATCGAACTCACCATCAGATGACGGTACTGAAGGGGTTACACAAGAAGATTTGCTAAAGGTTAGAGGTTTAGAGCAACTTAGAGGCTGGTGGAGAAGGATAAACGCTTCTTGCTTTAAATTTTGTGGGTCATTTGCTAATGCTGAATCTAGAAGGGGAAGTGGTGAGAGTGATGAGGATGTTATGAAGAAGGCATATAAGATCTACGCTGCCGACAAAACAAAGACAAAATTGATGTATAAAACCTTCCACGATCAGCATGCTTTGGATATTCTAACTCAACATGCTGCTTGGAAGCCGACTGAAAATATTGTTGGCACTTGCAAGAAGAAGACATCCACTCAAGGTAACGACTCTAAAAGAATGAAGATCAATGAAGCTGGTAACTTCTCATCATCAACAATCCCAAAGACACCAACCAGTGGTGATCTTGGGTGTTCCGGCTTCCCTTCAAGCAAAGAATCCAGCAAAAACAAATGTAACAGTAAAATGGTGAATATGCCATCAGAAGCATGGCAAAATTGGTTGGATACAATCCAAAACATAAACTCAACACGACAAACTAAAATAGAAATTGAACTTACAAGATTGAAGTACCAGAAAGAAAAAGAAGTAGAGTTGTTTCAAGTGGGAAGGGAGAAGACTCAGTTTGAAGGGAAAGAGAAGCAAGAAAGCGAGCAAAGGAAAATTAATATGGAGTTGTTCAAACATCTTGATTCAAAGCCATACTTGTTTGAAGCAAATCAAGATCTGAGGAATAATTTGTTAAAGAAGTTATTTCCATCATATTAGTTCAGTAGTGTTCTCTTTAAGTTATTGTATTTGGTTCTAATTATTTATGTTTACCATTGTTGTATTTCTTTTTTTCCGCAATTAAGTTTAAGTTCAAGAGTGTTTTAGATATTAATAGTTGTTTTTATTGTATTGTCGTTTTTAATTATTAATAAATGTTTTATTAATGGTGTTCTTTTTAATTAAAAATATTATTTTATGAATTATTTACTAAAATACTAGTGCATTGATGTACATATTACTGCATAAAGTATCAATTATATTCTGAAGAGTATAGTGCATTGATGTATGTATCACTGCAAAAAGTATCAATTATTTTATGAAGAGTATAGTGCACTAATGTATGCATCACTGTAAAAAGTATCAATTATTTATTGAAAAAACAGGTGTATTGATGTACATAACACAGCATACGACATTGACACATGGTGCATTGATGATACACTACAAAAAGTATCAATATACAAGCATCTTTGCAGACATAAATTATCACAAAAAAAAAAACAGTTGATACGACTTATGAATGGAAGACATTTATTATTCTGAGTAATGTAGTGATTGTGTGTATGTATGTGTGTTTAATAGCATACATACACCATTGTGTTCTAAATTAGTTTATATCAATTTGTATTTCATTTAGCGTTATATTCTCAAATTAAAATGTCTTTCATAAAATATGTTTTCAGAGGAAACTTCTAACTCTTCTAATTCCTCTTCCAATTCTTCAAATTTTGAAAAAGTTTAAAACCTACTAACCTAATTATCGAATGATAGTGATGATCAATGTTATAAAAGGCGTAGACAAGCAAATCGAGTTGTTGATCAAATGATGGATCAAGTAATGATGTCCAATCCAGTTGAAATATATCAAGCTTTTAATTAAATTCCAAGGGCACCAAGGAAACCTATTGAAAGAAATCGTGAAGATGGAAAAGCTCGTTTATGGAATGACTACTTTGCAAATCCTCCCACGTTCCCCGCACACTTATTTCGTCTAAGATTTTGAATGAGGCAACATGTCTTTCTCTGTATGAAAAACACTTTGGAAGAACATTATTTGTTCTTTCAATAGAGGCAGAATGCTACTGGTAGATTTGGTGCTTCAGCATTGTAGAAATGCACAACGACAATGAGGTTAATAGCATACGGCACCTCAACTGATTTTGCGGAAAATTACATTCGAATTAGTGGATCATTTACAAGAGTTTGCTTTCAACATTTTGTAGAAGGTGTTGTCTCTTGCTGTAGCGATGAATACCTTAGAAAGCCCAATGATGAAGATTTGGTAAGACTACCGAGAATTGGGGAACGAAGAGGTTTCCCAGGAATTCTCGGATCCATCGATTGCATGCATTGGCGGTGGAAGAATTGCCCTCTTTGATTGAAAGGGATGTTTTCTGGAAAAGCCGGTAAGCCCACATTAATTTTGGAAGCTGTGGCGTCATGTGATCTGACATGCTTTTTTCGGGGAATTGGGTATTCGTAATGATATCAATGTTCTTGATAGATCTCCATTATTTAAAAATGTGTTTGATGGTTGTGCACCACCTATTAACTATGTTGTAAACAACCACCAATACCATATGAGATATTACCTTTTTGATGGTATATATACTAGATGGGCGGCATTTATTCCCACCATGTCCTTCCCTCAAAACGAAAAATGGTCTTTTTTCTAAGAAACAAGAGAGTATGGTATCATTGTATTTTTAAGATTTGTTTATCGTATTGTCATATAATATGTTATCGTATCATCTTATCTTTTTTTTTTAATTAATTAACGATTATTAGATCACAATTTACATTAATAATTAATAATTATGTTTAATTAATGATGATTAAATAATGTAATCATTTATTCTTAATTACTTAATTCATTAATTTACTAATGTAGTGGCGGGGTAGAATAAAAGTAGGAAAGAGAAAATCAATGCCCACAATTTTGGAGGGCAACCAATGGGAGTGCGTGGCATAAGTGGGCATGAATGAGGTCAAAGAGAGAGAAATTGATAAAATAATATGATGACCACCATTACCTTGGGCATCCATTTACATACTCTAATAGTATAGAGATAAACTTCGAATGCGTAAAACTTGGTGTGTGAAGACAAACAAAAACGACAAAATTTCTCATATTCCTATACATTGCGTATAAGCCAGTATGTACAGTAAAAAAAAAATTAAAGAATCAAATCTGAACAAACGCAAGATGAAATGACAAGACCATGCATAATTTAAGATTGGCAATGCCAAATAACAATTAAAGAATCAAATATGAACACAAGCATGTTGAAATGACAAAGCATATTAAAGCTCGGTAAAGAAGACCAATCGAGGACATGTTGACTATATTCATTTACACAGAATTTAAATATGACAATTAAAGAACTAATCTAGACCGTCAGATCTAAAAGAAGAGGCGTGTGATCTAACAACCCAAATTCTTTTAGACAAATTAAATGAGGCACAAAATTTTAGGCGCCATTTTCTCTCT